TCCTCAGACAACACCTCCACCCACAGCCGTCTGGGCTGCTTGCCTGCTCACGCCCTTCTCCACGCAAGCCCGCACCTTGCACAGTTAGAGGAGCCCCGCCGTCTCTATAGCTGCCGAGGAGGTTCTGCATGCAGCTTTGAGGAGACGCCCTGGCTTCCAGAATCCACTCCTCATCCTTACCTGTTCTCCATCCTGGGGAAGTCCTGGTGTGTGTCCAGGCCGGTGTGTCTCCCCAGCTGCACAGTGGGAATGATTCTAGAAAGTACTTCTAGGGATGTCCTCAGGTGCAAGTGGAATAAGGCCTAAAAAATTGGAGAGTCATGTCACCTGTAGGTGTTGCCTGCGATCCAAGTTATCTTCCTCTGACTTCCTCCTCCATGTCTGTTCCTCTTCTGATCCCATCTCATAATCCTTATTTAATGTACTGTGGTGCACGTTTGTCTGTGTTTGTCTTTGTGTGTGTGTGTGTGTGTCTAATCCAGTACTCATACATTGTGTGACCCGCAGAACACTGCTCCAAAATGGGAGGGATGGGCAACAGCACCCTGAATACTCAGGGTTTCTAATTCCCAAATCAAACCAAATGAATGGTCTGAGGCCCTGGCTATGAGTTCAGAGCTCACAACTGACGGCCATGCAGTTATCAGGGCTAAAACTGGAGCAAAGACAGTCTGGTTCCACTCTCCACACTCATTGCCACAATGCTGTGGGCAGGGAAACTGTCCACTTCTCTGGTCACACAGTCTGCCATCTTATCTTCGGTTGAACATGCAGTGACCCGGGGACACATAGGCAGAAGGTGTCTGTCATCACCAGACAGACTTGACAATCTCATTTGCTAATTCCTTTATGTTCCAGTCTTTAAATGCTTCTCCCGAAGACTGAGGGTGGCTGTCAGGTTTTATCCAGGCCAAATCCTGGTAGAACCAGATGTGAGGTCACCAGGAACAAGAGGCTCTTTACTCAGCTGGAGTATCTCAGCTTGCTTGTAACCCCCTGAGAAGCAGTCTGTAAAAGTGACTTCATCTTAAAGTGGTCTCAGTTTTGCAGTTTGTTTAGATGCCTTGTATTATTTATATCACATAGTATTTATCCTTGTCTGTCTGACTGACTTCTGGTAGTATGGCTGTCTCTAGGTTTCCTAGACATACACCCAAATGTTCACAGCAGCACTATGTACAATAGCCAAGACAGTGAATGAACCTAAATGTTCACTGACAGATGAGTGGATAAGGAAGACATCGTATATGCACACAATGAAATACTACTCAGCCATAAAAAAGAACGAAGTAATGTCATTTCCAGGAACATGGTTGGACATGGCGTTTATCATACTAAGTGAAGTAAGTCAGACAGAGAAAGACAAATACATCACTGGTATGTGGAATCTAAAAAAATGATACACATGGATTTATTTATAAAACAGAAACAGACTCACACACATAGAAAACAAACTATGGTTACCAGGATGAAAGTGTTGTTGAGGGTTAAATTAGGAGTGTGGGATTAGCAGGTATGCACAACTATACACAAAACAGATAAACAACAAGGACCACTTTATAGTACAGG